AGGCGGGGGCAGGACTGCAGGCACCCGGCGCCGCCCCGCTCCTCCCCCCAGCGCCTAGAACACGTGTTGAGCAGGGCCAAGCGAGACCCCGGCGGCGCTGCGGGCTCTGCTAGCTCGTGGGCTGCGCTACTCGTGAGGTGGCTGAGAAGCTGTAGAGCCCCGCCTCCCCTCCCCAGCGCTCGGGCCGGGCTGCCACAGCCGCGTCTACGCGCGAGCCGGGCCGGGCGCTGGAGGGAGCCGTGTCCGCTTGCAGCGCAGGTTGCTTCAGTGCAAGGGAACATGGTTTCCTTTGCTTCTCCACCATGCGATCCTGGCAGGGGAAACGCCATGTATCTGGGTCCATGCAGGCAGCTCGGGATAACTGCTTTTCTGGCTGGTTTAGTACCCCGAGGTGTTGGGGCTTAAACCCACCGTATGGAAAGGGGAGGCTCCTCCCTTGCTTGCTCCTGTGGCCGTGGGGCTGAGCGCAGGTGAAACGCGGGGGCATCCGAACCCCGAGCCTCCGGGCTTGGGCCTGCATGTAGGATGCCCGCCAAAAGACTTTGGAAATATCTGAAGCTCCTGGTGGGGATGGAGGATGTTTGCCAGGTCAGGGCCACTTATGGTTCTGGACTGACTCCTGGATTTGGACTTGATTTGGCTTGGAATAACGGGGTGGAGTTTGACCCATAGCTGAGGGGGCAGAGGACATGGGAAACGAGGAGACCAGGACCAGGCAGAGACGGGGGCTATGGCAATCACACTGCCTGACCGGGGCGGGGCACTGAAGACGGTGTCCTGCTGCTGCTGCTATGTGCTGCTCTAGTCTTCCCCGCTCGGAACATGTGGTTGGCAGAGTCCAGAGCCACCCGTGTTTTCTTTTGGCGCTCCACATGGGAGAAAGGTGGCAAGGGCCAAGCTGTGCAAAGCGAAACAGTCCTGAGGCAAAGGAATGCCAGATGTCCTGATCTTCCTCTGGGCCAAGTACATGAGCCAGGTTTGCAAACGCAATGGGTGGGATCTAAATCAGCCAGCTTAAGTATTTTGTAGGGCAGCTGCTGTGACAGCGGCAAGTGCACACAACAGCTAGTGGGAGCCCATATTTTCCCCACGGCTTTACAAGCTTCTGAAGCGCTTTAGAGAGAAATGCAAACTGCAGGATGCTACCCTATGGGGACTAAGTGCAAGTTTTATTCTCCCAGCACAATCAAGGCATATATGCTCAAGAGGGCAGAGAAAGTACTTAAAGGTCATCCTCAAGGCTAGCTTGAAAAAATGCAATATCAACATCAGCTCATGGGAGACTTACCCAGGACTGCCCCAAATGGAGGAAGACTCTGCTGCAAGGTTCTCAGTACTTTGAAACCTCACAATGACAACAGGAGATGGAAAAGTGGGAGCAGCAGAAACAGCGTGTTTTGGACTGAATCAAGAACCCAGAGCCACCCATGGAAACATGTGCCTGAGCTGCAACATAGTCCGTTGATCTTGGATAGGCCTCATCAGTCATCTACAGACCCACAGATAAGATAATCATGAAAGACAATCATGCTTAGCTGCAAGGGATTTGGGATTTTGGATGATTAGTTCAGATGGCCTTTAGCTGGTGCCAGCTCACTTTTTCCTTGTAATAAGCCCTGTTTCATTTGCTTATTTGCTTACAAGCGGGGAAATTTGCACACACTAGAGCACCCAATCAGAATGTACTTCCCCCAGCTTTCTGGTTGAGGCATGAACCAGGTTGAGGCTGGTAGGAGCTGTTAAGCTCCTAAATTTGAACCCAGCCCTTGTTACTCGCAGCAAGGTTACTCTTGCTTTGTATTTCCTCTTGGTTTCACATCTAGTGATCCTGCTTCACTTAAGGTCTCGGATGGTCTTGCCTTTGTTAAGTGCTGTTGCTCCAGGTAGCTGTAGCTTTATTCAGCTGCTACTGTGTGCCTACCAGAGGTTCATCTGTAAGGCTCTCGAAATAGGTGTCTTTTGTGAAGTATTCCTAATTGCCCTTCTTTCACAGCAAAGTACTGATAGTCTGCTGTAGTAAAGTTGTGCAGGTTCAACCATATGTTCACAACAATGAATTGTATGGTGACTCCATCCTATTTCTAACCAAGATGGAGAAGGAAAGTTGTAATATCTATTTCCATTGGAGTCTGCCAAAAAGTGGCTTGACAAACATCCCTCTCATGGTTTAGGAAGAGAAAATCTTGCCTTTTGCAGGAAGTTGGACTACAGGTTTCCCTCAATTTATGCAGGTTCTGTATATGAGAATTCGCTCGTATGCGATGACTCTTTTTATACCCCAAATTCGTTATATGCAAGGTAAATTCACTCTTATGCGATCAGCATAGGCATGCTCCCCCCGCCCCCAAGCAGATAAGTCTGTGAGGGGAGGGGGAGGGGAGGGGAAAAGGCCATGGGGCCAGGGCCCCACTCACCCCAGCCCCTACTGCAGCTGCTCTGGGAGCAGCCAATGCCAGCAGCTTGCAGCTGTGGACTACACCACACCCCAAACCTCCAAGGCTCTGCTTCCCCATTCACCCCTGCTGCAGGGGCCCCAGGAGTAGCAGACGCCAGCTGCCCACACCAAGGAGGGCTGTGAGGCTGTGCCAGGCTCTGCAGCCTCTGCATGCAGAGAAAGAGCAGGCTGCCATTGCAAGCTGGAGCTGGCAGTAGCACTGGGCCTTTCATGGTGTTCAGGGCTGGCAGCTGCCTGCTTTTGTCCTGCTGCAGGCTGGGGCTGATGGCAACACTGGGCTCTTCCTGGGGCTTGGGGCAGGCTGCAGTGATGGGAGAGCAGTGCTGCCACCCCAAAATTTGCTGTAGCCCCACCTGCCCTCCCAGAGCTGCCGCCAAGCAGCAGGAAGAGCCCAGTGCTGCTGCCACCCCCAGCCTGCTCTTGTCCAGTTGCAGGCTGCCACCCACCCCGAGCACCAGGAGAAGCCCAGTGCCACCCCTGCTGCAGCACCCAGGGGTGACTTACACCACCTGCTTGCAGCCACTGGGCTGCACCGCGCCCTTCTCCCTGCCACTTCCCTAGCCCCAGTCTCACTCCCTCCCTCACCACAGTAGGAATGTATCCCTATTTGTTACGTTATAAACTGGGTTCCCTTTATATAAATTCTATTTATGCACAGTTTTCCAGGAACACATCTACTGCATAAATCGAGGGAAACCTGTATGTGACCATGGATGGTCCTTCCAAACGTACAGGTAGGAAGGACTTGGGGCTATGTTGAAGTGCCAATATCACTTGAAGCTCTGGCTATCAGTGCAGTGGCCTGAATTGTATTTCCTTTCCAAACCATTTATGTTGTTCCCTGAAACTTGCGGTAACTGCTTTTTATAATATGCAGTATAAAAATCTTTAAGCTGTTTCTTTTTTCTAGGATTCCTCTCTGATAATTTCCTTGTCCACAAGTGAATGAGCCTTAGCCTCTGTTGAGTTTGTCCTCAAACAATTTGGCTGCTTGATTCCATTTTCATTTACTAATCGTTTTGTGATCTCATGTTACAGTGCCAAGGATTAGGGCCGCTTTGTATTAGGCCCTATAGACACACTTGCAGTAGGAGCTAGTGTCTTAGCGAAGCAGTTTTTGTCCCTTTTGGTTTTTACGCTACTGTCTGTGTAAGCTTATATTCAACCTGTATGAGTACCAGTGCTGACCTGTGGGGACCTAATGTTTGAAGAAGTCTGCTTCCCTGCTTGCCCTTCCATTCCTGAAAAACTAAAACACAAAGGCATTTTTCATTATCATTGGGTATAGGGAAGACTGGAAAATGAAATTGTGGGGCATTGGCATGTGATTTTTTTTTTTCTTTTCTTTTCTTTTCTTTTTGCCCAAAGGTAGTCAGCCCTTCCCAGAGTCAGGTTATTGGAGCCTGGACGTAGTAGTTTGTCTGAAGTTTTTTTGTATATGAGCCTTAAAGGGTAACCTTTGGCCGCATGGGCTGCTTGTACATGTAATGGGGTTTAATCCTCATTAAATTAAATAGGTTTATTACATTTAAAATTGTTTATTTTAAAATGTCGCATCAGTGTGTGCACGTGGTAGTCTTTACAACAAATTAAGCCCAGTGTGCAATTCCCTGTAAATTCCAGCAGGGGGAGGCGCATACCAAATCACTCCACTGAATTACAGCAGGGGGTGCATGTAAATCACTAATCCCCTCCCTCACTCCCGAAAGCTCCCCACCCCTCCAAAGCCAGGGATCCTGATCCTAAGCCCCC